AAAAATACAGATTCAAAAACTATTATTTTTTATTTTAAAACATAGGTCCGTCCTGATTCTCACCGCCCAATTAGTCTTCTACCTTCTCTATCTAAAGTCGATTCGAAAAAATTCTTAGAACTATTAAATTACTTCGACTAAAAATTCACTTAGACTATTTGATGTCATTCCAAATTTCCAGTACGGGTTCAAAGAGCATCGTTCGACTATTCAGCAGTGTTACCACCTTGTAGATTACATATCTTTCTCGCTAGAATCAATATTGTACTGTCCTGGCGTTTTTCTTGACATGAGTCAGGCTTTTGACAGAATATGGCACGATGGTTTGTTACATAAATGAAAAACGATTATCCCTCCGACGTATTACTTAATGTTACTATCTTATCTGAAAGATAGATTTTTCCATGTGAAAATGGGGACTGAGTTTTCTGTCATTAAACAAATAAAAGCTGGAGTACCTCAAGGCAGTGTCTTGGGTCCAACACACTCCTCAACATTTACTGTTCAGACATCCCACAACATTCTGAAACACTGTTGGCCACATTTGCTGATGACTCGGCAATATTAACATCTAACAAGGATGCAGCTAAGGCTTCTCAGGTACTTCAAGAACACCTAGACGACATAGCTTGTTGGGCTAAAAGGTGGAGAATAAAAATGAACGAGTCTAAGAGCCAATTTGTTTCACTTACCCTTAAACATGACTCTTGTCCTCCAGTGTCAGCGATACGGAATTCTTTCTAGGCTACTTGACAGACGTTCTAAATTATCTGTGACTAATAAATTAACTATTTACAAAGTCCTCATTAAACCACTTTGGACATATGGGATCGAACTATGGGGGACAGTAAAGAAATCAAATATAAAAATCATCCAGTCATTCCAGTCAAAAGTCCTTCGGAAAATTGTAGACGCACCCTTTTACGTTTCAAATCTCACGTTACACACTGACCTTAACACTCCTTTCATCGCAGCAACTGCCACTGACCGCTTTAATAACATTCATGACAGACTGACTCTAAATTCCAATCCACTTACTCAAGCTCTATCTACTGCCACAAATCCATATAATGCGCCCAGAAGACTGCTGAGGCGCTGGCCAAGAGACTTATTGCATTGAGCTACCCTCTGCATTATCTTTTTTTTTTTTTTTGTGTGTGTGTGTGTGTGTGTGTGTGTGTGTGTTTGTTATTATGTATGTGCTATTTTACTACTGTTTTTTTTTTTTTTTCGTCTTTTTGTTTTGTTATAACTATTATTTTTTTTATGCTATCATTTCTTCTCCTTGATATCATATTTGCTGAATACTGAGGTAGATGGCAAATTTATTGTGAGCCACGAACATGTATGTATAAGTATTTTAAAGCTATTGATGAATGCTATTTTAAAATATGCTTGATTTTTAAAATTACAAAATTGAAGTGATTCATTTCGAATTAATTATATTTATTTAACGAATATCAAAATTTATTAGAATATAAAACATAATTTAACTATAAATATCTCCTTTCCTATTTAATAAAAACACTAAACTTACCCCTTACTCATGAGTAGATTTTCTCCATCTTCTAAAAAACTGTTTCAGCAATAATATAATAAGAAAATGTTGTCAACTTGTTTCATCTAGACTAGAGGTTGTATGGTGCACTATTGGTTTCACTAGTCGACTTTTAAAACCTTCCGGAAACAAGCCATAATTTTTTATTTATTTTTACATTGACTAACAATGGTCATGGTAATAGCCAATTAGTATTTCAAAATTCTTTTCATCTCATTTCAATAATTTAATTATGTAAATACTAGTCGGCCAAGAAGAAGAATTCACAGAAAACTTTGTTTAGTGAAGAAATAGCAAAACAATATGTAAATAAGTAGTTCTTACGTATTATGTAAGGAAGGAATTAATATTTTTTCCTTGGTCGATTACAATATTCTATTAAACATAATAGAAAAAAATATTTCTACAAATTGCTATGCTAGGACCTATTTTTAAACGCTGATTGGAAAGATAATAAAGGTAATATAGGCAAAATAATTTCCCGATCATGGGATATTCTAAATTATTAAAAAAATTAAAATGTAACAACAACCAAATGTCTTTAAGAAATAATAATGTTAATATATCAGCCAGGAAAAAAATTGTTGTAGACTATTCTATTCCTAAATGAAATATCTTTAAAGGAGAATACATTATTAAGTATACCAAAACTAATGGACTGTCTTTGTTAATAAATGTCCGATTTTTTCTTTGTTTTGTGCAATCGAAAAAAATGTATACTTTTTGAGTTATTCGCAAATAAAGTTTCTTTTCATGACAAATGACTCATTTCTAAAACCCTTCAGACCTAGTCCCAGAATAAAGATAATTTTCTATTCTATTTCTATTTTATAATCTTTAATTTATAAAATTGTTTGTTTAGAATAGATCAGTTCCTATAGGTAAGAAATATTTTTTATGTGGAACTGTATTTGCATAGAATATTTTTACATACAGAATTTAAATAATGAGATTATTAATTATATTTGTTTTTAAATAACTTATGTTTACTGCACGATTTTTCATTCAAGGTTATTGATAACTGCTTTAAATCTAATTTATTCATATATAATAATTAAAATAATCCTATATTTAATAATAGTTTAGATATTGTTGATCATATCTGATCCAAAAAACTAGTTGGGGTAGCCGTAAGAAAAAAAGAGTGATTATCGAAGACAATATAAAATAAAAATAAAAGATAGTCTATTTTTAATATGTGTTAACGTTTCTTCCCAAGTCATAGTCTTTTATCAGAGGTAAAGAAAAATTAGATACTTAGTGTATATAGTGGATGGATGGTTCGGTTGTCTTGTCAATATTTTTCGACTACATATAAATCTTGTACAGAAGGCATGATTTTTAAAAATTTATTATTGAAACTTACTGATTAAACATTGACACTGGAACTGGGAAGAAGAGTCAAAATTATCTGCCACCTGGAACAATTTTAGCTTGCCATTGGCTAGGAAAAGAGGTGTCTCCTTATTATTTCATTATGCTGCCCATGGAGGACACCTTATGGTGACATATATATTTATAAATATGTATCCTCTACTATAATTAATTATTCGTAACGCATGTTTATGATAAGGATTTTAAGTATGTTTATCATATTAAGAATATACTGCTTATTTTGGTAGATTTTTACAAATTTAAATATTAAATATGTGGTCACATACCTCATTTAGATACTATGAACTGATGCTTTATATCTGTGCAGGGAAATAAATGGTAAGGTACCAGATTTAACTTTAATAATCTTAGATTATATTAATCATAAGGAAAAATGATAAAAGTAATTTATATATATATATATATATATATATATATATATATATATATATATATATATATATATATATATATATTCCAATTGAAGTTATCTGTCACAAGATCCCAACCTTCTGAACTTTATACTCTTTTTCACAGATCGACTTCTTTTTAGAACTCCTTCGTTGTCTGCTCTGCTTTTTTCTAGAATTCCTTACCTTTAAAAATCTGGCATGCCCTCTCCCTATCTACCTTTAAAACCTTCCTATTCCAATTTCCATTCACACAAGTCAGAAAACGGCTAACCACATGTTAAATAATAGTGTAAAAAACCGTATTTTGTTATTTTATTTATTTGATGTGATCTTATGTATATATTTTTTTTTCACAAAAATGTATATAATATGTATATAATAAGAGTTGAATTTTCTTTTACTCATAGCAGACTTGTTGCTCATTTATTAAATAATCTTATTTTGTATTACTGTTTTCTTTTGTTTTTGAGTGTTCTTCTCACCGACTCACTCACGTTCAAGGACAGTGACAATTCGGTATAGATCCATGGATTATGGCTGCTCAGAATCAGCAGGAGCAAAAGGACCTATATTTCTTTCTCCGAAACTGACCGTCCATTGACCAAACCTCAGGGAGGCTACTGACATCCTAGTAGACCACATACCGATTCCCGATTTTAAGTACACGGGGTAGGGTCATCAGCCCTATGGCCCGTCAGTGTGAGTTACCTCCAGTAGGCTGACAGTGTGGCTGTATATATATATATATATATATATAATTCAAATATACATACACACACACACACACACACACACACACATATATATATATATATATATATATATATATATATATATATATATATATATATATATATATATATATATATATATGTATGTATATATATATATATATGTATGTATATATATATATATATGTATATATGTATATATATATATGTATATGTATATATATGTATATGTATATATATATATATATGTATATATATATATATATATATATATATATATATATATATGTGCGTGTGTGTGTATGTATGTATATTCTTTTTTTAAATGTATTTCTAAAATTAAATAATATACATACGCTATTAGAGACAAGCTATAAGCTATATATGCTATAGTAACAAGCCATAAGCTATTAGAGACAAGGTCGGATGTCAAAAGAACATCCTTCACCTGATCGGGACCAAACGGTTAAAGTGGTATGGCCACTTAATGCGGATGGATGAGAACCGCTGGCCAAAGAAAATCTATAACTATATGCCACCTGAAAGAAGGTAGTGTGGAAGGCCAAAGAAGAAATGGACAGAGGACGTGGAAGAAAGCATGGCAGCCAGAGGGCTTCGTGAAGGAGATTGGATGGACAGGGAGCAGTGGCTTTTGGGTGTTGGGGATATGACTCCTTAAGTTGTATAAAACCCAAATGAAAAAAAAAAATTAAATAATGATAATACCTAATGTTTTTGTTAGAGTCAAACCAATGGTTCGGAATACCCTATTTTCATTAAATAAAAACATATTTCACAGTGTGCCTTGTGAAGAAAGGTATAAGCAGTATAATACAAAAATTAAATAATTTAAGAAAATACAATATTTACATTTAGTTCAATTAAATGATATACAATAAAATCTTTTTCGAAACAGATTATAAATTATCTACTAAGCAGGTTGAAATAGTGGCCTCTCTTCTCTATTAACTGCCCATGGTTCCCTTCTTCTATTACTTCACCAGACCTAAGGACTACAATCTTGTCTGCCTTACGGATAGTCGACAGTCGGTGTGCTATCACAATATTAGTCCTACCGATCGAAGCATTCTCCAGAGCTTCCTGCACAGCCTATAATATAAAAATAATAACAATGATAAACAGGCACATCTAAATTAAATAAAGATGTAAATGCATGGTTTATGAAAAGGTTTCTTCGTCAATCAGTTACTGATAGTTTTGCATACTCCCGCACCTTCTCATTCTCTGTATCAAGCGAAGAAGTAGCTTCATCCAGAAGTAATATCTTTGGGTTTCTGAGAATAGCTCTAGCAATTGCGATTCTCTGCTTCTGCCCTCCTGATAGCTTTGAACCTCTTTCACCAACTGATGCGTCATAAGCCTAAAACATTTATTGATATATTTCAAAGGTTATTCATAATTAAATAAGCCATAGAGAAAATCATGATCTTCAGTATTCATTTTATTGATATAGCTTTCAATATACAAATTTAGTAGTTAGGCCATCCAGCCATTGTTATTAATCAGTTTTCCTTCTCTTCTAATCCCATTATTAACAAGAAATCCACTTACTATACTTAAATGACAAGAGCTTAAAAATATGACTCAACCAATGATGTAGACTTATAAGTAGAAAATTTTATCTTTCAATCAACAACGAATTGCTAATCTACAAGACAACTCTGAAACCAATCTGGACCATGGTTTCGAATTGTGAAAGATAGCTAAATTTGGAATACCAAATTAATTTAATTCTTTCAGTCCTATGTCCTTCAAACAATAGTTAAATGTGTCTAAGAATACATTGTGATGTTCTTCTTCACTAGCACTACAATCCCTCTGGCTTCCCCTAACAGCAACCATCATGTGTCTGTGTTCTGTGCCGCTGCTATTCAGTTTTGCACCTTCAAATATTTTTTTGCATTATAGGTGATACAATCTATCCACCACACCTTGTAGTAGACATCTCCTGGTATTTACTCCTTTATGTGACATTGGGTGAGGGAATGAGAAGGAATATATAATATATAAGAATGTGAGGTTGCACTGTGAATTGTACTCAATTGTGCAGTGGACAAATTGTTCATTGGAAAATCTCATATCGATAAACAATCGATAAAGAAGGAAAAAGGTCCGGTCAGATAGCAGCAGCTGGAAGACGACGCCAAACACTTGAGGCGGAACACATACCTGGGAAGAGAGTCTACTACAAGATTTAGAAGATCAAGTCTATAGTTATAACACTTTAATAGAGTTAATTTATTATAGTTGTAGAAATAAATCATTTTGTTATACAGGAATGAAAAGTCATTTATTTATTTAGTTGTCCTATATGCCTCACGATTGAACAATAACAAATCAATTCATTCAAAGTGTATTTACTAAGTCCCACATTTCAAATATATATTCTTATTGTTTCATCTCACTCAGTGTAACAAAACGTATTAGATTCCCGAATTCCCAACAACAGTTAAACACCCTCAAAAAGTCTATATCCAGTGCCGGGGTTTGTTTTAATTATCTCGAGTGTAAATAACCTAGTTCCCCAATATAAAAGCGGAAGACTATTCGCTATTCCCGCCAAAAAACAAATTATTTAACAATTAACTTTTAGTAGGTAATTTACAAGCTTCAGCTTTCTAACTCTGCAACAACTATACAGAGACTCGATCGTAATTCTCTTGGTAGATAGATCGTCAGGTATTCTGGCTAGATGTCCTATCTATCTGATCCTTCCAAGCTTGATGACATCCAGATCATGATATAGGTCATACAGCTTCCGCTTGTTTCTTTGCATCCATTCATTATAAAGAAAATATAAACCAATAAAATAGTAAGAGGAAAATGTAATTTTCAGTTTTTTAAAACATTTTATATGACTATACTGTATTTCTTTTTGTTGTTGGTTTTAGGAAGTGAGAAATGTATTAAAATGCTAACATTAACCAGATGTTATTAATAAATAAATACAAATCTGACATACCCGAGGAAGCTTCATTATAAAGTTGTGAATATTTGCTATTTTTGCAGCTTCGATGACCTTGTCCATTGTAACCTTTTCTTCCAAACCGTAAAGGATATTTTCTTTTATTGTCATATCAAATAAGACTGGCTCTTGCGAAACGAGACCCATCTGGCTTCTCAAATATCTCACATTTATATCATTGATATTGTTACCGTCGATCAACTGGAAAATTAAATGTTAAAATGTTAGTGTAAAGTTATAATTTCTAATTATTATAGGGCCTCTTACACTTAAGCAAATGTTACGAAGATAGGGTCTTCAGCTCAAACATTACTTCCATTTTCCACTTATCACACATAGATTTATGATACTACCACCTTTATTTTATGATAATACTTTGCTACCATCTACCTATTAAATTTTATATACTACATTACTTATATATTGATCTATCTTATGATGTCATAATTTTTCATTCATACAACATTATTTTATTTAATTTTTCATAATTTACTCATTCATAATTGGCCTATTGTTAATATTTGTATACGGTATTATTGTCAATTGTTTATCTTATTATATTATTATACTGTTTTTCTTACTGATTGTTATCTTTTATTTTACTTAGTTTTAATCAAGGAATAAAACTTAGGCTTAAAGATCAGCACTAAAGAAAAATTTGCCTTATTTGTGTGTACTTTCATACTACATCACCCACCAACTTATCCTTTCTTCTTCTTTCTCTTCATCTTTTGCCTTGGTCTCTGTCCAGATCTCTTAACAGTCGAGCTCTCATTATTTTTCTTGGATCTCGGTTATTGTGTATCCCTGTATAGATGTACAAACCATGTTAGTTCTCTTCTATGGAAAGTGGTTTACAATGAGTATACGACCAACTGCTCCCTTATTGTTTCATTTCTGATACATTCCATTCATTTCTTGCGAATCACTCAGCGGAGATATTTAATTTCCATTGCAATCAGATGGTTCATATGTTTGTGTTACCTAACTCCTAGAACCATACAACAGAGTTAGCGGATAGAAATGTTCGAAAAAATGGAGCTTGACCTAGTTGATGACCTTTCTCCAACTTGTTAAAAACATTTAAATTGACTGCAGTAGTAAATTTGAGTTTAAATCATTATAAGTAAATAAGGTAAATAACGGAGACTCATGGCTACCTTCAAAGAAGGATCTGATTAAATATACTTTTAGAATGTGATGAATTTGTGGACAGGATTGACTTTTATGAACTTAATAATTAAACAGCTATTGTTTAATGATTTCTTGATTGTACTACACTGTAAATATTGTTATTAATTTTCAATTTCTTTCCAATATCTTTAGTTAATTGTTTGTTCATTTCTTTCTCAAACATTCTATTTATATCATTATTTAATCTCTAATTTATCACATTTGTAATTTATCTTAATGAAACACATTTGTTATTTGTTGTTTAATAAAAAAAGGAAGATTAAAGTGGCTCAGGCACGTGGAGAGTATGGAGACCAATCGCCTCCCTGAGCAATGAATGTATGGAAAGCCAGGAGGTGCCCAAAGCCATGGACATCCTAGGATGAAATAGTTGGATGACATTGAGGGATAGGTCTATGGCAGCTAGGAGTTGGAAGATGGAGAGCTATTCCTGCCGACAGATCAGGTAACAGGCTATCTATGAGGAGGCCCATGTACTTGGATGGCTGTAGCATCAAAAATAATAATAAATTATTTATCTTTCTTTATCTTGTATATTATACTTAGTAACTTTTCTTTTACTTATTTAGAGTTAATTTCTTTTCTTTTCTTATATTTTAAAATATTCAATTTTATATGCATTATGCTTCTTAAACTAATTATATATTTTAATAAGTGATATGTCGAAAAGATGGTATGCATAGAAATATATACTCCCATTTACTGTAATGGTTCGACTATTGATCAAATATTTTCTTTACGACAAATATTAGAGAAAACATTAGAGTACAACGGTATTGTTCACCAGCTGTATATCGATTTCAAAAAGGCTTACAAATCTATTGACCGCTGGAAACTGTATAATATTCTAATCGAGCAGGGGATACCAAAAAAAACTAGTAAATCTAGTCAGGATGAGCTTGATGGAAACACTCAATAATGTTAGAATCGGTAATAATCTGTCCGAAAAATTTGAGGTTCGTTCGGGTTTAAAACAGGGGGATTCTCTTTCGCCTGTCCTATTCAATTTGGCATTAGAACATGCCATTAGGGAGGTAATGTGTACTGAAAAAGGGTTGGATCTGGGTGGGACAACATCCGTGCTGGGCTATGCTAATGATCTGGTACTGTTAAGCGAAGACGTGGAAACTATAAAACTAAATACGACAGTGTTAATAAAAGCTGGTAAAGAACTAGGACTCGAAATAAACGCGGATAAAACAAAATATATGGTTAGCTGCAAAAATGGCGATACTACTGATGATATTGATATAGATGGTACTATGTTTGAACAAGTAGAGAATGTTTAGACTGAAGACGGGAAATGCTTGTTATTTTTCTGTGACAAAACTACTTAGCTCACGCCTCTTGTCCCGGAACTTAAAAATTAGAATCTATAAAACCATTATCTCATCTACAGTTCTTTATGGATGCGAAACTTGGCCGCTTACATTAAGAGATGAGCAGCGTCTTAAGGTTTTTGAAAATGAAGTATTGCGTAGAATATTCGGACCGAAGAAGGATGAGTTAACCGGAGAGTTCAGACGGTTACACAACGCCAAATTGTGCGAACTGTATCCGGGTAATATAATTGAGGTAATTTTATCGCGGCGAATCAAATGGGCTTGTAAAATTGTTGGGCTTGGTAACTAGAGAATTCCTAAAAGGTTAATATTGGCTGTAATGGTAAAATGTAATGGCCGAATGGTAAACTTCCGAGGGGTAGACCGAAGCGAAGGTGGGAAGATTGCCTTAAAGCTGATCCACCAAGCTGATGGTGGTGTCGGCATCAAACCTTCGGGTTCGCTAAGCCTTTTATTATTATTTCCATTCTTTATTCTCGCTTTGCGGGGTAAGTTTCTGAGGTGGGAGACCAGAAGTCCAGCCACTTCAGATTAATATCTATTACTTTTTAGATATTTAAAAACTTTCGAACAATACGTGCCGTATCCAAGAGAACCGAGTGTTGAGCCTCTTTCAGCACTTCAAGAGGTAATTTTAATCCTATCGTGCCTGCCACTGTTGTCTTTGGTATCAATCCATTGGAAGATATTATTATTATTATTTCCATTCTTTATTCTCGCTTTGCGGGGTAAGTTTCTGAGGTGGGAGACCAGAAGTCCAGCCACTTCAGATTAATATCTATTACTTTTTAGATATTTAAAAACTTTCGAACAATACGTGCCGTATCCAAGAGAACTGAGTGTTGAGCCTCTTTCAGCACTTCAAGAGGTAATTTAATCCCATCGTGCCTACCACTGTTGTCTTTGGTATCAATCCATTGGAGGATATTATAATTGGAGTGGTGGTGACGTTCCCCAAATGATACAATTCCTTCAGTTCGATTGCCAGTTCCTGGTATTTTCTCAGTTTTTCTCCAACAGTGGAGCTTATATTATTATCATTGGGGATCCTGACATCAATAAGCTCTGCTCTTTTCTCTCTCATGTCTATCAGAAGGATGTCTGGTTTATTGTGACGCACAGTATGGTCAGTTATTATCGATTCATCCCAGTAGAGCTTGAGACTACCTTTTTGGAGGAGTTTATTTGGGTGGTACTTATAATATGGATTATTATTATTATTATTATTATTACTGTAATGTGGAAAAAGTGAAGTAAATAAGATCATACTTACTATTTTTCCTTCATTAGGAAGATAGAACCTCTCTAGAAGTGAGATAATTGTTGATTTTCCACATCCAGAGTCTCCTACTAAAGCTATAGTCTTTCCTGCTTCAATTTTAAGATTCAGCTTTTTGAGAATTTGCACTTTTTCCCTAGTAGGGTAAGAAAAGGTCACATCTTGAAAGATAATGTTTCCACTTATTGCCTAAAATATATATATATGAAGCCCAAAGATTCACTCAAAAGTGGCACATGTTTCGAGAATTTATATTTAATCACACTTACTGGTTTAATTCCTTGATCTGTCATTGTGTTGAGGGATATTTTGGAATAAGCGATCCTGTAGAGCTGCTTCATCGCCTGTCTTGCTGCAGGGTACTGACTTGTCAGGATCAAGGCAGGTCCAGCCAATGAAGATGCCATGCTTAGAGCAAATGTAACGCTAAAAAAATTTACTCTTCAGTTACACATTAATGTATACTATAAAGGATAAATTTTCAATAAATTGGATATTAGGAATTAGGAATAGGAAAATTAGCCTAATCCTTGAATACATTTAAACAATGAACAATTGGAGTTTAATAAGATAAGCTGTTCTAAAATTAGGTAAGGTGTCGCATTATAGTTGCTGTGGCTTCTAAGAAGAAAACAAATGTCCCTCTTGTTTGACGATGAATCCAATATAGCCACAAAAAAAAAGACAGCCTACAGAAGCATTAGCTAAAGGAATGAACCACAAATATATATATATATATATATATATATATATATATATATATATATATATATTTTTTAATTTCTTTATGACATTTACAACTGTATTACATAAATACATCAAGTAAATTTGGACATAATTGATATAATGACATGAATACACTTGCTGAGTAACTACCCAATGGTAGCACTCTAATGATATGACTACTTTAGGAGATCACGGGGCCATCTTCTTTTCAGACGCCTCGGAGGGTTATCAGGAATTGAAGAGGAAGCAAGGTTAGAAACGAGAGGGTTGGGATGATTCTGAAGTTTATTATGGAAGGATAGGTATCTGGATTGGGCCAGATCTGAAACATAAGGAACATTAAGATCTTTATGGATAATTTTATTAGTGACAAAGTAAGGAGCATTGAGGATTTTACGAAGGATTTTGGATTGTAAGGATTGGATGCGAGAGGAATTCGATGGTTTAGTGGAGCCCCATAGCTCAACTCCGTAAGTCCAAATAGGTCTTATTATAGTCAAGTATATAAGTCTTTTGTAATTAATGGGAAGTTTAGAGCGTTTGTCTAGTAAGTGCTGAAGTAATCGGAAACGTCGAGCGGTTTCTTGTCGTTTCAGTCTAGTATGAGGATTCCAAGTGAGTCGTTTGTCCAGATGGAGTCCTAGGTATCGGATTTGCTCAACAGGGATAAGTGGAGTATTGTTAAAGGAAACTGTAGGACAGGAAGTCGTTGGTTTACGAACAAATATATTTAATAAATCTTCTACATAAAGATGAACACAGAGCAATCTGCAGGAGGGGAGCTTTCAGGCTAAAGTCCTTCTCCACAAATGGTAAAATATAACCAAGTTTTAGGAAATAAATATTTAAAAAAAGTATTATTGTTCATCTGATTACATTTAATTGGTCCTCAACGATCAATTAAACACTACTTCATATTGGTAGTTAGTTTCTTTCTTTTTCTTTCAATGTAATTATCATTTATATATAAATAGATTTTTGGGGTGAAGCCTCCCCCCTAAAAAAATTAAATCCTGTATCTGTTAGCGCAAAGCAAGATAGCATATTTTATTATATAATTTTTTTTTTCTTTAATTAACATTAGGGACTGTAGCAAAAGTAGAGATTTTTTTTATAGGGATGGTTAAAAGTTAAGGTTTGTTCAGATGGCTTGGAAGGGGCAGAATTCTTTGTATCTTACTTTTTACCTGACGAAGACTAACAATACCAGGTCAAAATGTCAGTATTTAAAGTACAGTTCTCATTGTTTATATTATTCCTGAACATCATCTGAACTATCAACCATGAAATATGGTCGACCATTAATATATAATAATTACTATTTTTAATAGAATAAGAACTGTTTTTTATAAATATTATTCTTATCACCTTTATTCTTACCCAACGAACGATGTTCCTCTTGCGTTACTTCTCACAATAACATTGGTTCCATAGATAAATAATATGCTCAGCGACCATCGAATTAGTGTTTTAGAGAAACTATAAACAGCTGCATACCAAGCTATGCTTACAATTGCTTCCCTAAATAAAATGTATTTACATTTCATAATTACTTTAGAATTTCAAAAGAAATAAAATTTAATAAATAAATAAAAATAAAAAATTAGCCTCACTTCTTAGAATGTGCAAGCATTTCCTGATACTGGTTTACTACATACTTTTGGCAGTTTAGTATTTGGATTGTTTTGACACTTTGAACATATTCAATTGCTACCTAAAGAAAATAAAAGTTTAAGTAAATCATTACTGCTATTGATTCATCTTCAATTATAAAAAAAATTAAAATTATTCACCTTGGTTGCTTTGGTTTGGAGGAAGGCGGAACGAGCATCTGCATCTTGTGTCTTCAATCTCAAACAGTTGATGATGAAGAAGAATATGAAGATTGGTAAATTTGCCAGCGTTATACTGGTGCTGAAGAAGAACGAGTAGCCGACAGAGAAGAGTACCGAAAGCATGAAGATGAGAACTTGAGCTGCCCGATCCCCTGTTACCTTAACAATTATTTTAAGATTAACACTTTAGCATGTAATTAGAGGCAGTGATTACAACTTCCCTTTCCACAAGTGCCATGGTGCATGACCACTCTTCATTCAAGAAATTTTGTTGTTCTTCTCTTAAAAGCAATGCAAGTGAAAGAATTATAAAATACAATACAATTTAGAATAATAGCTCATTATAAAGATGATGAAATGATGAACATTTCTCTTGCTTAAAGCATGCAAGTTCAATTTTTAGTTTCTAAAATATTTTTAGCCCACACGTCAAAATGAAAAGAAAGACTTTGAACAACCGACTGAAAATACTATACTCACTGTTTTCTAAATCAAAATTGAAAATTAGACAAAAACCAAATTCATACACTTACATGCTCAAACCCATTTGGAGATAGGCCTCACAGATTTACGGTTCAGCAAAAAAGACTCACTTACAAAAACTACAATCCTTTCAATCTAAAATTTTAAGACTAATAACTGCAGCTCCCTGATATGTCAACAACAAGATTTTACACACCAACCTATCAAATCTGCTAATTGTCACTACCATGACAGGTGCGGATGAAGAATTAAAGACAAAAAAAAAAAATTTTAATCCATATGCAAAAATACTGCAATTAGTCAACTACAGCTGACTTTACCCGTGCATTACACATCGGAGATCTGACCGCTCAATCTAATTCACTCTCCACAAAAAAAGTGCAGAACACGCCTGAAGACGTTCTCACTTCAACAAGGAAAAATATTAAATAAGGCATGCAATTCGTCTAGCTGCAATGTGAATTTCTTAATCCCATCTTCGTAGTTCACCGTGGAGGACATGGTTAATGCTAATTACAAGTAAAGAACGGGAAAACGTAAACGTTAGTGGATGCGCGAAGTGCTCGCAGAAAGACCTAGGTTCAGTGATGCATTATTAAATAAATTAATACTGGAAGACGCCATGGGTTTTCGGAATTTCACCCGACTGACGCCAACTAATTTCGAAGATTTGCCTCTGATGGTTGGGGGGGATAAACAGCCAAACCACACCACTCAGTTGTTGGAAATGAACTGAGACTGAGACTGAGACTCTAGTTTTTATATACCAAGTCACCTCCATACTGTCAAAATGATGCGCAACATGTCTAACGTTGCATACTGTCTCCCATTCCTTTAGACTTTAGACTTGTGATTTTTGTTCTTGCAACATGCCTGTTGGCAAGAATTGGTCTATAGGTATGTCTGCTAGTGTGGACTAGGCTTTAGATTTTATTTCTAAACAACAAATTATACACTTGACAATATAGGTATAATCTTGTAACCAATAAAAATAAGGAGGAAGTTATATTAATCCTACTTTTTTTTCATTAATATTTTTAAACTGGGTATTTGTAATACTGTTTGAAAAGGATCTAGAAAAATAGGTTTTTAAATCACGTTAATACATTATACCAGTTAGTCTTGGTAGGATTTAAAATAAACTATTAAATAGATTCTGAAAATATTATTTTATAGTAGTACTTACTGATTCGATGAGTGGTGGGCTATTTGTAAATATTTCAAGGCATTCATTAGGAGAGTTTCCGTTCCAGTCGAACCAACTTATGTCAATAGAAACCATTTTATCAAAAGCTTTTCTCTGCAGTTTTCCCAACCATATTTGAGTTGCAATAGTAGACATGACACCCTTGAAGGTAATATTATATTAAATAGTATGTATACATTTTTATGACTAAACATTGTATTTTATAAATGCAGTGCCTTTAGAACAATATTAACATAATTAAAAACTAATGAAAAACTGGAAAAATCTACGCTGGGGCATTTCCTTAAACACTCCTGAGGCACATCCAGAATTCCTAAAGAGAATTATTTAACATTAACTAAACTCATTAAAAATATTTTAACTTAATTTAACTAGAGGAGACTACAATGCTAAACACCAACGATGGGGTTGTCGAACATCCAACTCCCGCACTAACTTCCTATCACATGTCTGATCTTCTGAGAAAATGTTGACTTACCCATTCTTATTTGAATAAGATAATTTTCTGTAGGATAAGACGGCCTTCCCTTCACCCATGTGTCAGAAATGGCCTAGTAGTTGGAAATGGAAAAAAAATATATACTTACAGACAAAATCACAGAGAAAAATATAATAATGCCAAGTCCAAAGAGGTAACTAACATTCATCAGGGCTCTCCAACTCAGTTCATCTTTACTGTATGTGAAAGACTAAAAACAAAATGGTCTGTAAAATCTTTATTAAATAACTAAACAGGTTTATGAAGGTTATGGATACATTAGATTACCTCGCAAAACAGACTAAATATATAGTGTAAAGTGGGAAGAAATGTTGAAGTAGTGGTAGAGAACACAATAGCAAGAAACCACACGACCATCATTTTGAGGTTTTTCATATTCAACTGGAGTGTTTTTTCATTACGAGGCACCTAGATATATTTATATTAATAATCATATCAATCTTCAATAATGTCTGTTTGATAAATATAGAAAAATATGCTACCTCTAAACTTTCTTGATTGAATGGTGGGGCTTCTTCAAACCATTCCTCATTTAAATAACTTTTTCGGCTGTTTAATGAAAATAATAATTATTATTATTATAAAAAAATATTACATTTTGATAAAACTAAAGATAAAAAATAAACGTTATTCAACAAAATAATTAATTACAATATTAAGTAAGGTTGAGATACATTCTTGAATGTCTTGTGTTCAAAATCGGGTCAGATATGGTTGTGAAAGATTCTAGAATTCTGGGAATTTCTGGCACAATTCTGAATAGAACCGTCCTAATTCTTGGATATGCTGACAGACTTCACATAACTGGAAGGTCAAATATGGTATTAGAAGAAACGTTCCTGACATGGATACATAATGTATCCAAGACAAAGCATGTGTTCATAGGAAAGCTTGCACGACCAACGGAATCGGTTTAATTTGGTGAATTTAGGGGAAATTGATGCTAAAAATTACCAGGGCAAGTTGTTACAAGTGAGATAGTTTCAAATGAAAAGGGAAAAATATGTCTTATATTCAAATCAGTCCTTTCTATTCTAATTCTTCTCTTCACAATACAATCAGAAGCTGGCTAATTATTTATTATCTGACAAGATATTTTAATTTTCTTTTCACATCGTTTTTTTTTTTTTTTTTTCAATTATGAAAATGGAAAAGATTACCTCTCACTTTTCACAGATAATTATGAATAGGTATTGCATATTTGTTTGTTTTTAATTATTTATTTATTTTTCCTATTCATAAGATTTTATGTCTTTGAGATTACAATAATTTTCTAATTTTTTACACCACCATCGAGTATACATTTCCACATCTTAAGGAACAGATGTAAATCAGTTATTTACTCTAGTTAGTTACTTTTCTCTTCTTTTTGTATTACTACAGTGATTTTCTTATTCCTTTAAGATGTCTTTGATGTCGGCTACTTTTAACAGACCATTTTAAAAATGATTTGCTATTTAATATATAGCAGTATATATTTATTGTATTACTTATGTTTTAATTATTCTGTATTGTAATAGGTCTTTTAGCCAGATTTATTATTAAGTTGTATGAACAATATTGTTATTCTTAAGGGACTTGGTTCCACAATAAAGTTGATTTTATATTTCAATAACTCAATAATCCTCCATCAGAGTCTCTACCCTTATATAAAGGCGTTTCATGAGATTCCTCCTTATCTCTCACCCTTTTTACCATCTTTATTAATGACTTTCTGTCCTCTATTCTTCACTGTCCATACCACCTTTAATCTGGAGACGTCCAAATTTATCTTTCCTTCGATCCGGCTAATTCCTCTGGTAACATCCTAAAACTCCAGGAACATATCGACAGATATATGTGCTTGGTCAAACGTCAATTGGCTCACTCTAAACGCTGAAAATCCTGATTGGATCTCCACCACTCCACAATTCCATTGCTGTTCCTCCCAATCTTCTTGTGAACAACTCACCTATCTCATTCCATACTTCCGTTAAAAATCTTGGTTTTACCTTTAATCAAACCATTTCCCGGAAACCAAACATTTCCCTAATTTCCATTCATAATATTTTTACCCATTAACCAGTAAAGCTGTCTATGCTTTCTCCTTCTATTCTAGACCCATTAATTCTTGGTTTCCGGGCTTGTTTTCCTCCACTCCGACGATGGCTTTATTAAACTATTTCATCGCTTCCCCTATCTCCTACCTCAACATACCCGTAGACTCCTAATTTCCTCTCTCATCTTCTTCCACTTTGACTACAGCTATGTGGTGTATGGTGGCCTCTCGTTGGATCTCCGTGATAGACTGAAAAAATTAATGAATAGCTGCGTAAGATTTGTTATTAGTTCCGCGAGGTACTCTCTACACTACTGACTCTTACCACTACACTGAGTTAAGGCAGCTCTTTTCCTCCTTTTGAAGACAATATTTCCTTGGTACGTTCCTTTATCAAATCATCAAAAACCATCATCCTTCTTACACCTACAACCTTCTCCAATTCAAGTCCTCAGTCCATTCCCTTTCAACAAGATCTCGACCTTCTGACCTCTATCTCCCTTCTCACAGATCTGCCTCATTTCAAAACTCCTTTATTGCTCGCGCTGCCAATTTCTGGAATTCCTACCTATCAAAATTTGGCATTCCCTCTCCATATCCACATTCAAACCCGTCCATTCCAATTCCTATCCCAAAAACAGTCTGGTGACTGCTAAACTTTTGATATTATACATTTTTATTATATCATTCATCATCAAATGACAGTACTATTACATACAGTAAACTTCACTAGGGATATTAGAATATCTTCCTACTCTCAATGCCACTGAATACATCTATGGTTTGTCTTTTTATTATTTTTATTCTTATAAAAATAAATTTGTACCTATAATTACAATAAGATAATGATGCGTTTAGATATTATTCATTATTTAAATACTCTGACATTTTATATTGTCAGATTTGTCTTTCCTTCATTAACAGAAACACAGGTTATTTTAAAGAAGAATTCAATGCATTTTTTATTATTTTATTTTTCAAAAGTGTACAATTATAATTTTTCCAACTGTACATAGTTTTAAGTGTCTTATCATGGTTTTAAGTGTTTTGTATATAGATTTTTTTTTTGTATATAGCTTGTTTAACTAATATTTTCTTTACTTTCTCTTTTTTTATTATTGTTTTATTTTGGCCAGATGTAGTATTTTAATTAGGTACTATTTTTTTATGCTAAAAGGAGGGACTTTGTCCCAGAATAAAGTTTTTTTCTATTTCTATATTCATCTTAATTCTATTTATTTCCAAATTTTTGTTACTTAAATATTAATTAATTCTTGCAATATATTAATAAATATTGTACAAAAACAGTTGGAGTGGTCCCCGAGGCCACGGTTCTCCACCTATGGTATAGTTAATGTTTTTATAAAGATTTTTTTTTTTATAATATTTGTATTTTTGTAGTGTACAAATTTTTGTATTTGTAATTTTATTTTGATTTTGAAAAAAAAAAAGAAGTATATAATGCATCCTTACCTTGTTTTATCAACTTGGTCTTTTTCCTCAAGTTCTTGAATCTTAGCTAAAGAGTAATAATATCCTCCGAATTTCATCAGTTCACTGTGAGTGCCTTTTTCCACGACACGTCCTTCCTAAATGGAATTCTGTCTTTAATATTTATTGTAAGAAGACAAATTAAAATTAAAAATTGAAGGAATGAATTACTTTCATGGCATATATAACATCAGCCTTCTTTACTGTCGACATTCTATGAGCAACGATCACTGTTGTCCTGTTTCGCATAGCATTATCCAGGGCTTCTTGTACAATGCCTTCTGAATGAGAATCCAGCGCAGAAGTGGCTTCGTCAAGAAGGAGCAGTTTGGGTCTTTTGACGATGGCCCTTGCAATGGCAATCCTCTGTTTCTGACCTCCAGACAGTTTTGTTCCTCCTTCTCCAACAATTGAACGATATCCCTAAGCATATAATTATATAATGTATAAGTTAATTGTATTTTAATTTCAAAATGATAAATTCTCACATTCACATTCAAATTAAATCATTTGGATGTTTTAAACTATTGTTAAATAATTAAATTCACTATTATTTGAATAATGAGTTTGTGGTTGGTTGACAGTCATCTGCCACCACACACCAGACCGTAGTTCTCCTACCCTCTACCTGGCAGCGCCACATGCGTGTGCTGAATGTATCCAAAAATTGTATCTTTATTTCTTATTATTATAATGTAAAAACATCTGGTGTGTCCACTCACACGACTTTCCTACCTATTTCAGAAAAGTTTTTATATCTTTACTTAAGTTCATGAAGAAACAAAAAAAAAAATTGAACTAGATTTATTTTCTTTGAAATTGATCAAAGAAAAGATTTGAGTAAGATTTATTTGATAAATTAAAGCAATGTAAACTGGCTTAAGGTAGATCAGTGTAAAAATTTCAATACTTCCTAATATTGCTGATCAAAAACTTTTTGCCATAGCTTAGTATTGTCAAACAATAATTTCTGTTAAAAGTAGAGGAAATAGTGAAGATTGTGTGATGTGGACAACAGATTTTCTTACTTTCACTTTATTCTCTCATTCACCGCTTTCTGACACCAGGATAGGAACCCGTAATCTTACATTGGAAATGAGTAACTTCGTTAATAGTTGTCGATTTGAATGAATGAGCGATTTTCATATGGATTTGTAGGGAATTTCATTACCTTTCGAAAAAAAAACAGGCTAAACGGAGACAAACAGACAGACCAATGGCTAAAAATGTGTTTTTCGGACTCAGGAGGCTCTAAAAGGTATCCGTCGAAGGATCCGTCGAAAACCGCATATTGGAAATTTGACCCGATTGCAATACTTTTCTTACCTAGTATAGGTAGGAAAGTAATAAGTTAAAAAATGTGTAAAAAATAGATTAAGCTGTATCATCGCCAATAATTGTTCGATTCTGATGAATTTTTTTTGTTTTGTTGGTAATTTAATTACCTTTCAAAAGTTTTATTATGAATTTTACCGTATAATATATACTTAGGGAGTTAGGCCCCATAACATTTTTCTTTTCTTTATAACTTTTTCCTCTGTATTTTCTAGGGAATTTAGTCCATATACGAAAATTGAAAGGAAAATTATTAGAACATTGTAGGAAAGTTTCATCAAAATCGTTTGAGCCGTTTTTGCGCTACAGTCTATAGAAAAACATGTTTTTCATTTATTGCGCGCAAGCAATTGCGCATGGAGCACCGAATATCTGTCACAGGCATCAGTAGTCAAAACCCTACAAAATAAAAAAAAAGAAGCAACAAAATCGATTCTGTAGTTCCCGAGAAAATCTTGGCACAGACAGACAGACCAATGGCTAGAAATGTGTTTTTCGGACTCAGGGGGCTCTGAAACGTATAGATACGTCGAAAACCTCATATCGGAAATTTGACCCGATTGCAATACTTTATTTACCTAGTATAGGTAGGAAAGTAAAAACTGAAGTTCTATCTTGTAAACATTTATATACATTGTAATAATAAAGTCTTATGGTAATAAGATATACTCTTTAAAGCTTTTAAACGAAAGTAACTGTAACTACTCTTGCTTGCCGAGTTAGTCATGGCGAAACGAAGACCGTAGTCAGAAAATGTTAATTTAGAACTCAGATCTTCATCTTTCGAGATGTAGGCAGTTTGCTAAGTATATTCTATAAAAGCTTTTTTTGGTTCAACATCAAACTGCCTTATATTTTACCATGCTCCTTTAGCCTTTTCTTCTTTTCTCTCTCCATAGAAAGTATGGATGCTCATCCGTCCGCTTGTACACCTATATAAGTCTAGAGGCTCATCACTCCGTTAGTATTTCATCCTCACTCGAAGTCTGGAGATTCATGCTCCGGTTGTGATTTCTGTCCTGCAGTGTCTTGAGATTCATCACTTAGCCCGCAGACCAAGAGTGATTTGAATGCTCATCTACCTAATACTTGAAGTCATTCTGTCTTAGTCTCATCCATCATCCTCTAAATCATATTACTCTAATTTGAACACGCTCCGTCGAATCCTTCTGATCACTGTATTAACAATACCTACCTCGACATCGTGTATGTCGCTTTAGCGGATGTATTTCTTACTTGAAGTATGTTTATAAACTGTAAAAGTCTAGGACAAAATGAAAAACAATTAAACTTGACTGGGATAGACAACTTTTAATCTAATTAAAGATTTCGTTGATCTCCAGGTTTTCTGTATTCCTACACGCAACATAATCTGTATTTGCGCAATTGCGCGGGCAAAGTTCGACAAGGTAAAAAAAAAAACTTAATTTGATATGATAATTTTCACTCACTGCAGGTAATTTATTTATGAAGCCGTGAGCATAAGAAATTTTTGCTGCTTCGATTATATCCTCTAAAGTTGAAGTAGTTTTTCCATATCTGATGTTCTCTTCTATCGATGTATCGAAGAGCATTGGTTCCTGTGATACGACACCAATTTGATTTCTCAGCCAGCTTACATTCAGTTTTTTTATATCCACTCCACCAATAAGGATCTAATGAAAAAATTAGTATTAATTGTTTTGAAAAATGATTCTCACGCCTGTGCTTTTGCATTAAAATGTTTTTTAACCTACATACCTGCCCAGCAATGGGATCATAGAGGCGCGAAATCAGGCTTACAATTGTACTTTTTCCTGCACCACTAGTTCCTACTACTGCTGTGACTTTACCAGGCTCTATGTCCAATGTCAGATCATGGAGTACCTATATTTTTAAATTTAAATTGGTAGATTTTCTTATTTTAATAATTCTTTCTAATTACTAAAATTGATTTAACTTATACATTTGTGTATATATTTGTCGGATATGAGAACTGAACATTTCTGAAAGAGATGGCAGCCTTAAATGTTTCAGGTTGGATTCCTCGTTTAATAGATTTGCTATAACTGGTCTCAGTGTCAAGGAACCTCATCACTCTCTGTACCGAATCAGCCACCATGTTGATATCAGACACAGTACTCAGCATGTACGAGCAGTTGAACAGAGAATTAATTTGTGCGGATAAAATCTAAAATATAAGAAAATACATCAATTTATGACTAATTTGTTCTGTAATTAATGAATATTTAATAGTTGACCGTTGCATTATAAAGGAAGGAGATGGTCCGGGGTTGCGGTCATAAATAGGCTAAATAGTGGTAAAAATATTTTATTGAAAGCCAACGTTTCGACCCGACTTTGCAGGTCTTCATCAGTAGACAAAGTAGACAAAAACTGTATTTCTCTTACATATAGACACATTTTAAGTCCTATAAGTGAAAAATAACTTAAATATTCTATTCTATTATTTTCATATACTCTCAATTTTTATTAATTAATTCATTTAATTGTTCATTATTCTAAATATTCCTTCTTTGTATGATCTCTCTTTTATTTTATTCTAAATTTACATTTACACTCTACACCAATTTATGATCATCCTTTTTCCACTTTGTATTAATTTTACTTATTAACTATGTCTCATTATCTAATATTCAAATGTAATTTTCTTACATATGTACAACCAAATATAAATATAATTATTAATTTTTTCTCTCTCTATACTTATAAGTTAGCTCTGCAATGTATGTATGTAAATGAAGTTATTTCTATATTTATATTTTACTTTTGCCAATTTTGGATTTATTCGCATTGTACTCTGATCTAGAATCATGAAATACCTCTCACACCTCTCATCTCTATTTTATATGTATATTTATATATTTATAATTTAATATTTCATAGATATAGTATTTTTCCATTGTATCCATCCATATCTTCAAAAATTTTTAGATACTGTAATTTCCTGGGTTTTTCCCAGTTTACTTAGTTAACACATGTTAGCTTCCCCTATACCTGCAATCCTTACCGCTGCCTTTCCAGTTCTAAGTGAAACTCCTAGATGAACACACCTGTAAGTCTCTAATTTTATTTCTCTCCTGTAGATTTTGTAGAAGTATATTCACATTTTCATTTATTATATATTACACTACAACAATTGTTAGCATCTATTTACTTCAGTTTAGGATCTTGTTACTCAGCTTACTTGGTCCATATTTTATTGTACTTACTGTTTATAATTTTAATAAGCTTCTTCACATTATTTATAAATTATGTCTAAATATTATGTAATTGCCACAATTCTCTATCTTTTTGTATTTTCTCCGTTCTAGCCCTGCAAAGTCGGGTTGAAACGTCGGCTTTCAATAAAATAGTTTTACCACTATTTAGCCTATTTATGACCGCAACCCCGGACTATCTCCTTCCTTGGTAATTAATGCTCGCTTATATTTAAAAATAACCAATAGAAAAATAATATTACTTACAACTGCTAAGTAGCCAGGATTGAAGTCATCCAAAAGATATAGTCTTACACAAAAATAATAAGCAACCAAATAGCAAAAGGATAATTGAAAATAGTTTAATGCTTTTCCTGCAGAGATCACAGCAGCATGTTGCAATCCATACTTATTCGCCATCTTTAATGTATTCTTGTACCTGAATTAAGGTCATTTTTATTTGATTGATTGTTTAATCATTAAGTATTGTTTAATCACACAAATAAAGTATAAAAATCAAAGTTCCTATTTTAATTAACAGTACCTCTCAATTTCTTTATATTCGCCACCATATGCTGCCACAGTACGGGCGTTACTGAGTACTTCAGTAGCCAGTTTTGTACATTTTCTAATGTACTTTTGTCGCAATTTTCCCTTATTCTTTGATGCCTGGTAAAAGAAATAGAAATTTTTAAATTAGATTTTGTTTAAATATTTAAAAAACAAAACACACTTTATAAAAATACCGTTATACCGTTCTTACAATTTTTCTTTCAATTTTCGTATATGGACTAAATTCCCAAGAAAATACAGGAAAAAAAGTTATAAAGAAAAGAAAAATGTTATGGGGCCTAACTCCCTAAGTATATATTATACGGTAAAATTCGTAATAAAACTTTTGAAAGGTAATTAAATTACCAACAAAACAAAAAAAATTCATCGGAATCGAACCATTATTAGAGATGATACAGCTTATTCTATTTTTTACACATTTTTTAACCTATACTAGGTAAGAAAAGTATTGCAATCCGGTCAAATTTCCAATATGCGGTTTTCGACGAATCTATACGTTTCAGAGCCCCTTGAGTCCGAAAAATACATTTTTAGCCATTGGTCTGTCTGTATGTGCCAAGATTATCTCGGAAACTACTGAATCGATTTTGAAAGGTAATGAAATTCCCTACAAAACTATATAAAAATCGTTCATTTTGGACAACTAATAACGAAGTTAGAGCTATTCAATTTCCAAGTGAAAGTAAGAAAATGTGTTGCCCGCATCACTATCTTCACTATTTCCTCTACTTTTAACAAAAATTATTGTTTGACAATACTAAGCTATTCCAAAAAGTTTTTGATCAGCAATATTAGGAAGTACTGAAATGTTTACACTGATCTACCTTAAGCCGGTTTACATTGGTTTAGTTTATCAAATAAATCGTACTCAAATCTTATGTTTGATCAATTTTCAGGAAAATGTATCTAGTTCAACTATTTTTTGTTTCTTCATGAACATATGTAAAGATATAAAAACTTTTCTGAAATAGATAGGAAAGTCGTGTCAGTGGACACACCAGATATTTTTATAATCTACAGTTTTTCTTTCTTTTTGAAATGAAAATTTCTTTAGGCGCGCTTAGCACTTTATTTTGTGGCTAGTGAATAAAAGTGAGCCGTCCCGTTTGTCTATGCAATGCTCAATCGGGTAAAATCGTCTCGAGTCAAATTTTTGCGTTTGGATTTAAATATATCAAAACCTAAAATCGGACCTGCATACTGTAAGCAAGGGGAATGTACAACATTTCCTTCTCTTTGTAACCATGTTAGAGAGACAAAAAGGAAAAGGATAGCGCCAAAAAATCAAATAATAACGAATTGGGATTAAATTTTGAACTTGCATCCTGTAAGCGAGAGAAATTTTCAGCATTTCATTCTCCTAGTAATGAGTTATAATTCAAAATTTTATTAGGTGTACTGGAAGTCAATGTCGTTTCTGTGCATGTCACTATTTTATTACCATTTTTCAGCTCGTTGTGAGCATCAGAAGAGGTACATGTCCGACATTGCATGCTTTATGAATTTTGCAAGGGAGTAACGCAACAGTTGCTACCAAAAATATTGGGGATGTTGATCCAAATGCATTAGACTTCCTTAAATACCAATGATGGTTTTTCAAGTTGAAATCCGGTAATCTTGATCTTTCCTACTTGTATCGATCAGGAAAACCAAAAGAGTTAGACAATAACGTGTTGAGGGAGGAAGAACCGTCTAACAGTCTTAACCAACGTTGGTCGATTATCCACCGATCCACTTCATGCAACTTACTACATCATCGGCACAATACAGAAGGTAAACGATGCCCGGCAACCTGATATGAAATGTTATAAAAATAGTCACGAGTTCGCGTTCCGGTGCCAAGGCGTCTTTTAAAATCCCCGCCCAAATCCCTTGGTTCCGGGAAAACCCCGTATAGTCTTAACGGAGAGGAAGGGGAAGACCCAAAAAAAAAAATAAAAAACTACAGAAGGTGAAGTCCCCTTAGTCCAAATAACCAAGACCATCAAAATGGCCTGTATTTGTGTGTGTTAACAGGCCGTTTATTCCCAAAAATCTAGTAACCTTTTAGAAATTTTTTTATTAAAGAAATTTACAACTGTATTAAATAATAAATACAACAAGTAAATATGAACAAGTAAGGATGAGTTAACCGGAGAGTTCAGACGGTTACACAACGCCGAATTGCGTGAGCTGTATCCGGGTAATATAATTGAGGTAATTTCATCGCGGCGAATCAAATGGGCTTGTAAAGTTGTTGGGCTTAGTAACGACAACATTCCTAAAAGGTTAATATTTGCTGTGCCGAATGGTAAGCGTCCGAGGGGTAGACCGAAGCGAAGGTGGGGAGATTGCATTAAAGCCGATCTGGGGACTGGTCCCTTGCATTAAAGGGACTGGGTTTGGACGGCGAACGGTGGAGGGAGGTGTGTAATAAGCGATTGGTGGTGTCGGCATCGAACCTTCGGGTTCTCTAAGCCTTTTATTATTATTATATATAAGGGTAATTATAAAAATAAAAATACCTACAATGAAATATAAATCAATATAGCGTTTAACATTTTTATTTTTACTTCTCTTTTTTTTTTTGAGAATAGTTATTTCTGCTAAGAAGAGGGTGGTAAATGAAAGTTGTGGGGTGCTCGCACGGCACCAGATTTTTATTTATCTTTTCTGTTGCAAAAATGGATATGCATTAATTACTACTTTTTATTATTGGAGAAAAAAGTACATCGTCCTCAGATGATAAATTTAGATAGACATTTTTTGATAACTAACACAAATTAATTTATCTTTGACTTTCCTCTCACACAACAAACAACTATAAAAACCTCTTAGTAACCTCCTACTTCCTTTCCACATCACAGTTTTGATTTAACTTTTTACCAACGACAGGGAGTAGTGATAACAGAGCTGTTACTGGTAGATTAAGTTCAGATAACTGAATCTCGATTAAAACCATGCATTGTGCAACTGGCCCTTAAGGTTAAAGGTTCTATATTTTAGATGGAACCAAGGTTAGTAAAACTACCAAGTTAGCTCACTCAGAGGGAAAATGGCGGCGAGGAATTGAGCTCTGACGTAGCCAAAAGACCGGGTTTATCCCTCCGGCCTTTGTTTCTGGACATTTTAAGGTTATTACTTCCTTTTATACATTAATTCAATACGGTATTGCCAAATAACTTATTAATTTATTAATTTTAATAAATTTAAAAGGCGAGAGAAAGGTTGATTTGATATTTGGTTTATTCTGAAGCAAATAAAATTTAATTTAACAAGTTTTTGTATGATTTTTTTTTGCAAAGTACCACAATTCTACTTTTTAAATATTTCAAATATATACAGAGCATAATACTGAAATATTGAAAAAAAAATAAAAAGTATTTAATCTAACATTAAAGAAATGTTTTCTTTCCGTGAATTTTTGTAAATATTATATTTTTATGTCATAAGTAATCCTATGTAGTGATTTTTCTCAGTTTTTTTTTGGCTTTGATTTTATGTTTTCTTAATTGTTGTAAAAATCATTGGATATTTAAAAATTTGATTCTATTAAATACCCATTGCTGAAAGAAAGGCTTTCTTCATTAATTTCTAAATTTTGTTCCCTAAGAAAAAGTAATTTTTTTTACAATATTTTTACATTTACATTTTGAAATCCAATCTTTTCTTCGAGCGTCCTTTGGAAAAGAATGAAATGAAATTTTCTTTCCCACCTTCTTTGTGTCAATTAGATTATTGTTGCAAGATGCAATTGTGCATTTTGTACGTGGCATTCTATAGGATTCTATTAATAATTATGTTATTATGAGAAATACAAGGAATACTAATAAGAACAAACGAATTCACTGTAACATGTTATTAAAAGTAAAAAAAAAAATACTCGTTATAATATTATTTTAGAGATGGATAAGTAGTTGACTGTTAAGATTTAAGATTATAAGGTGAAAGGAAATTATCAGGATTTGCAGTAAACTTATTTATTTTTTTAAATCAAATTTATTTATTTAAGAAATTTATTACTGACAAAGATTTTCACCCTCATAATATTATTATAATATCTTTATAATATTAAAAGAAATACCCACGAGATCTACAAACATTGTACTGAAATGTTCTCTAAATAAATATAAATCTTAGTTTTTTCTATTTATATAATATATTTGTATATTATTTACAGAGATTTTGAAATAAAGAATTTAAAAATAATCTTAATATCAATTTCGTTCTTTTCATTTCAGGCCTGGCCTGTAATTTTCATAGCATTTTATTCTAGATTGATAGCCGTATTTATTTATTTATCTACTTGAAATTATCTTCAATCAAACGTCAAAAATACAGAAAAGTATTCTTCTCAATAAATTAAACAAAAAAAAAGCACCATAATGTTGAAATAAGCCTTCATTGATAGGCTTGAAAGAGTAATAGGTAGGTCTGACAGTCTATTTCTTACGTCACGTTTCAAGTTCCCACCACGCATTTCTGAGTGAGCGAACCTGATAGTTTTATTGACCTTGAGCTCAGATAACTGAATCTCGATTAAAACCGTGCATTGTACAACGGGCCCTTAAGGTTAAAGGTGTCTATATTTTAGATGGAACTGCTTCTTTTCGTAGTTGGATATGTTATCATGTAACGAATGTGTAAACTAAAATCTTAAACATCAATCACACTTACTTGGAGTACGAAGTAGAGGGCCATGATACCGATTGACATCAATCCTAGGGTCAGGAGTGCAACCTTCCAAGAAACCACGATCCCAGCTATGCAACCAAAAAGAAAAAAGGAAAACATTTCTGCTGCATTTGTCATTTCGGCGTCAAATAAAATTGTCATCTTCTGTAAGTCACTGTAACAAAAATATAAAAAGTTAAAACTGTCTGTTATGCTGTTTAAAATAAGTTGCTAAGAGAAAAATACACCTTTATTTATTTATCTATAAGATATATATATATATCTGTCAAAATACATTTGTTGTATACAATAGTAATGAGCAAATATAATAATAAGAAATACATATAATGTCAAGGAGAACATAACTAAAAACAAACAAGCAAGAATATGAATAATATAAAATAATAAATAATAAAACACTGGTCAAGGCAGTGGTACTCTACGCAACAGAAACTTCTTGTCTTCCCAGCCTAGAGAGCCTTCTGAAAATAGAAAGAATTTTAGAGAAATTCTCAGAATAATCTACGAACCTAGCCTGAACCTGAAGACACCTGAAGGATACAGGTTGAGGACAAATGAAGAAATTTATAAGGAAACAACAGATCTAGAAACTGACCTTTCTATCAAATTGAATGTTATAAAATAAAGCAAGCAATTTTACATATACACTTCTTTAATCCAGTAACTCCTCTAATTTTACAGTCCACAGCAATAAATTTTCACCAGCTCTTAAAGCAAAATTATTATGACAATATCCCTGACAGCCGTGGAAGGGATTGGCATAGTAAAATAAACAGTCAGTATACTACCGCAGTGTGCTCAACGAGGTACTCTGCAGAAACTCAGTTACCCCAGAAGAGTTAAAGAAGTGCGTAATTGACTGTTTAACAATAATAAATGTGCCACCTTTAAGCACAGTTTGATGGATGATCAGTCCTGAAAGTGTTGTAAGTAGGTATTGAAAATTTAATTTGGCTTCTCAAGTGTTTTTCAGTCAATAGTGCTACATCTATGCTCTCGACGTTCGAAAATACTTTCAACTCATTTCTGTATGGGAATATACATTTTTAATTACATAGAAGAATTTTAAGCTCTCTCATGATGTAAATTTGAGCAGCAGGTACCGCTTTAGGGTGGTAAATTAATGGAGCCACGAGATTTTTAAATTCGCTGATAAAGTCGGTAAGTTGTGTTGTGATGTGCGGTTGTTTTATATTATGGGGAACAGCGTTGGGTAATGATGTATTACCAGTTGTATTAATGATTTGTGGAGATGCAGTGAATGTTGTTATTACGAGTGAATATGTTGGTATTGTTTGGTCTGTTTGTATTATCTGAGGCAGAGGTGCAAAAGACTTTTCCTGTACAGCCGCGTTCTTGTGCCTCTTCCTATATCAGATGTCCCTTAGATCTTACGTAAAACCTTGGACGATACAGCCTCTGTAGTTTGCCGGATGTGCTTGTTCGCAAAGGACATACTTGGGTGGTACATCATGGGGCTTCTTACATCTAGATGAGAGGTGTGGACCTCCGCATTTGACACACCAGGGTTTAAGGTTGCAGTTGGACTTTTTATGACCATAGTATTGGAACCGTTTACATTGAACGATTTTGTTTCTATGTCTAGGTTCTTCTACCACAACTCTTCTGTAATGCAAATATTGTAATGAAAATAATCTATCACAGTTTTTATTTTATTGGAGGTGAACAAAGAACATCAGAAGATGTTCTTTAGTTCTTGGGTGTACTTAAATTGTGTACTTTGAGAACAGCATAATCTTGCTTAACCTGTAGTTCTTCTTTGATAGTTTCATAAGTTAAAATAGGATGTAAGTTTTTAATGATTACTCGAAATGGCCGGTCTTCTTGTAGCTGATATGTGAGAAATCGAGCATTTTTTTATTTTAAATATTTAACGGTTTTTCTGTATGCCTCTGGATCCATTGGCAATACGACGGTATTATTAAGGTTAGATTTTTGTTTGAATTTTTTTTACTCCTACTTCTTTTATGAGATCATCACAAAACTGTGCAAAATGTTAGAATGATTTTACATAGATCGGAGGTGGTATAGTTTACCTCAAGAATAGAATAGAATTTAAATGATTTCTCTTCCTTTTGAAAAAAACTTTGGCGAAGCCCCATCGTTGGACAATCAAAATCAATTCAATTCTTATTCAAGATAAGAAAGTTTAGATCAGTGGGGCCGCGGTGGTGTTCAGTATAAGTGTTCAAATTCCGTTCTCGGGAATTAATAAAAGAATCAAACACAAACATAATAATACATTAAAATAATTAGGTACAGGCCCTACTCGACAACTGACGCGGGTTCGATACCCATATGGAGATGGTAACGTACCTACTTTGAGGTTCATAGAGAGGTGAGCGGCCCCTTTGTCTTAAACCATAACTCCCGATCCTCTAGGTTGGGAGTTGGGTATAGGACTAATAATCCCCTATTCCATAAAAAAGGTGGATGGAAGATTGCTGCAAAACTATCCTGCAGGAAAGTTCCTGATAAAGAGGGAGTGAAATGTGGTCCCGTCCAGTTAGTAAACCACGTGCTCCCTGGATATCTTGAAGAGAAGAAAACAAAACGATCACTACTGTCGCCTAAAACAGCCCCAAGCTGCTAAAGAAGACTCATGACTTAAAAAGTTGCAGTCGACAGGCATAGGAAAAAAGAAGAAAAGAAAGTTTTGTAGAATAATTGACAGAATAAGATGAGATTTAAGAGGATAATTTTTAAACTCCTCTTTATGAAGAAACAGTTAATTATAAAAAACATTTGCAGACTTACTGTGAGACAGTGTAAACAAACTGTTCTTGAGATTTGTCATACCAGGCAGTCTCTATCGACAGCATCTTTGACAGGTAGGCAGTCTTAATTTTAGCCATTATGTTACGGGAAGCTATTTCAGAAGCCATGATCTAAACAAAAAAAAACAAAAAAAAAAAAAAAACAGAAATAATTTTGGTTTTTCTAGTAAGACCCTGAAAAGTCGTAAAGCAATAACATCATTTCGGTCATTGTTAATATTGTTTTTCGACTTTTCGTTTATGCAGTCGTTTAAGAAGACTCTCATTAATTCGTGTGACAGGATTCGATGAGATAACACTTGCAACATAATTATCAAGGACCGTTTGCGGGAATTTTATGAACCTCCAAATAACATGATCTTGAAACGTCATGAGGTGCTAAACGGATACACACACACACACACACACACACACACACACATATATATATATATATATATATATATATATATATATATATATATATATATATATATATATATATATAATGTTTACGTATTTGCTTTCTTGTTATATACAATATCAAAACCGACTTCAACCTATCAGTACCAGCTTAAAAAAAAACACATTCGTCACCCGATGGAAATCAGACAAGTTCTGGACATACTGTCCAACTACCTATAAAGAATATCTCCGTTACCAATAGTGTACAGCATGTGGTAACTGTTAACGTGACACAACGCATGTAATTACTTGAGTTGATTTTGACGCCATGCGATTTCCTTCTGATGTTATTATTTTATTTTTTTTTAAACTTTATTTCTTCAATCACATCTGTCAGAAATATTGATATTAGTGAGTAAGCTGTCGGTAAGAATACTGCTAGTAAGACGCATGGGAGAGGTTATGCCAGCGGCATCAATTCCTATTTCGTTTCTATTATAGTATTTATAGTTAAACGAGAAGATGGCTCATTTAGCTTCTTTTGAGCATCTTAGAGTCAATTCATTCAAAGTGTATTTACTCAGTCTCACATTTCAGATATATATATCCCTATTGTTTCTTCTCCTCGCTCAGTGTCACAAAGATATTAGATTCCCAACAATAGTTAAACACCCTCACAAAGTCTATATCCAGTGCCGGGATTTTGTTTTAATTATCTCGAGTGTAAATAACCTAGTTCCCCGATATAAAAAGCGGAAGGCTATTCGCCTATTCCCGCCAAAACCAATTATTAACATTTAATCTTTATTAGGTTATTTACGCACTTAATATAACAGGGCGGTCCCTCCACGCCCAGTGGTATAATAAAAGGCCTCTGGACACAGATGCAAAGAATGCATACAGCTTGCATAGCCCTCTTACCTTAAAATGCCCTTGGGCAATAAAAGGAAATTGAAAATTTATGTATATATACATTTATATATATATATTGTATTTTGTAATCAAGAAATTCCTGGGGGGTAGGAAAAAAAAAAAATTAACGTAAATAATTCATAACAATGAAAATCTTTTGGTATGAATATCTCCTAAACAAAGCGTTTGCAGATATACCTTCTTAGCAATTTTTTTCTTGTTTTGAGTCCTTAATTTATATTTTCAGTTTGGCCACTTAACCCTAAAACACTCTGTAATATATACGTGATTTTTCACCTGAATGATGCTAAAAGTTAAAGTGATCACTCCAATTGCGCAATAGCCATAGCCGTACTCTCTGATCTTGGAAATCTCTGCAGTCATGTTGACGTGATACGGCTGCATTTTGTCGAAAAAAAAAACAGAAATATTTACAACCATTGTCAAATTTATGTATTATATATTTATTATATATATTATATAAATTATATATTTAAATGAAAATTGCATACTCACATTTCCTTGGGTTTCTGCTTTAATGAATATATTCAGAACGGGTGTAAGAAAGAAATAAATGTTGATTGGTGCCATAAAACCGAGACCGACGGCAGAAAAGAAACTCAACGCCAAGGTGATCATGTCCTTCTTGTCGGCGTAGCATACCTGTTGAGGAACACTTCTCATGAGGACATCATAAGGATAAGAATAGTTGTTTGTTATCAACTAAGCTATTTCAGGATATGCTAATTACCGAATTTGATTGAAAATGCGATTTTTCTTCGAGGTATTTGTGTGCAGAAGCATTATGCAAATCACCAGAAGGTCTCAACAGTGCGTGTTCAGTTTACAGGAGTAATATGACTGAGTGGATGAAGGAAGATGTATAGAAGGATGACCTCGAGTGACAGGCGGATCAGCACCATATCACTCTCGGCCTGCGGCGTAAGAGATCAAGCTTACACTCCGCAAGGATGGTTACCACAACCGAAGGGATGAAATACTAACCGGACTTGTGGGAGGATGAGATACTAACGGAGGAATCAATCTCCTGACTTAATATTTAGGACTGCAAGTGGCCGGATCCGCGCCCAACTCGCGTGGAGTAAGAGAAGAAGATATAGGAGCAAGGATACTGTGAGATAAGAAGAACGTACTAAGGTGAACCAAAAGTATATATGATACATATACTGACCATCTGTATAAAGGTCTATACCCTGAAGGGGTGGATATCCGTAGATCTGACAACTTGAGGTTTGACTGGGGTATTCATTCCGCCATTGCTAAACCGGCTACCAAGAGCCGTTACTATAATAGTTATTTTGAGCTTTGGTCGGTATATGTTATCGCCATTAAACTTTGTTAATAAAAAGTATTTACAATGAATATGCATATTTCAATTTACAATTTAAGCGCCCTTACTCAATCTCCGCTGGCATTCAATACCAGTGAAATGGTTGAGGAAGAAGCGCAGGGATCTCCTGAAGCCTTGCTTTCCCTCCACATGTGGGGGGATAAGTATGGTTCCGAGTTCCCATGGCCGACTGTAAATAATGTAAATAGGTATGCCTGCATCTAAGATGTTTATTTTCATTACTTTTTTTTTAAAGATAATTTTAATTCTATTTTATTCATTTATTTTCATTCTATTATTACTATTATTTATATTTTCTTCCTTCACTATGATATTTTATTTTGTTGTTTTGTAGCTTTATATTATTTGAAGTTAGCTTATTTTATTTTATTTGTAAATATGGTGTGAATGTACTCTCAGAACTCTATTATAAATGTCCTTTATTGAGACAGATTATAATAGTTATCAATAAACACATAAATAATAAAAAAAACTTTACAATTTAAGTATTTTATAAAACAACATTAAGAAATAAAAGATACAATTTTAGTATGTTACACGGGCGAGCTTGTAGGGCGCTGCCTGGTAGCGGGTAAACGAACTTGATGTATCTGTAGTAAAAGGCGAGAGTCTGTTGCCGCTACAATAGTATTTGAAGTGGATGTACTATTTTTAATGTAAGAAGGTATTTTATTACATTTAATAGTTTTTGTGCAACATATTCAGTATTATTGTGCCCACTTTTCATTTTGTATTTATGTTAATGTTAGTTAACTGTGTTCTTATTATATTTAGTGTTTATTATTTTAAATCTTACGGGTGGCGGATGTGGGAATGGTCGGTGGAAATTCCTTGGAAATTCCTCCCCGCTATGCCCGATGGACTCGCTGACCAACAATGAGAGGGGCCCTCCCCTCAAGACCTCCTGACTTGCTGGAGGGTGTGACGTAGGATTGAACGCCCTACTCACATATCTTTAGTTCACCCTACACCACAAATAGACATGGATCTCCCTAAGGTAAAACGCTCATTATCCGGAGGTAAACTAGTCCCCCGTTCGGGTCTCCGGATGGGGACTGCTTTAGGGGATTCATGGCGCAAGTTGAAAAATAGGCATTTAAATATTGGTACGTGGAACGTAAGGCGTTTATACACAGCAGGGGGGTTAAAATAGGTCGCGAATGATGAGGTTAATCGGTAAAATTTGAATGTCGTGGCTCTGCAAGAGGTTCGCTGGCCATGCGAGGGCTCGACAAGGGAAAGAAAACACTATTTGGCATGGAGGAAGCGGGAATTATTGTTTAGATACCGGGTTCCTAATTAGGAATAGATTGCTATTCGCTTTAAGTGAAGTACAAATCTTTAGTGATAGAATTTCAGCAGCTATATTTTAGGGACGTTGGTTTAAAGTGACGATGAAGTCAAATGCGAATTTTACGATAAACTCGAATGGGTTTATGATAAAATACCGTGAAACTCCATGAAAATAATTGTAGGTGACGCGAACGCAAAGGTGGGGAGGGAAGAAGTTTATGTTCCGTCTATTGTTAAAGAAATTTTGCACGAATATAGTAATAATAATGGGATCCGTCTGATAAACTTTACCATCTCCAAAAGCCTGATAATTAAAAGTACTACGACTAAACATAAGGGTATCCATAAATATACTTGACATGACCGTATTCACAAAGAATAAATCAAATCGATCATGTCTTGATACAACAAAGCTGGCAAAGCAGTATAATTAATGTACGGTCTTATCGCGGAGCAGAATTTGGGTTGAATCACGAATTAGTAATCGCGAAACTTTAACAAAAACTTAATATAAAAAAGAGAACATAAAACGTATCGATTTTGAGAATTTTAATTTGGAAAAATTAAAAAATCCATTAAGTAGAACCCAATTCGAACTGGATGTTAAGAATAGGTTTGAAGCTTTAGAGATTTCTGACGAGGACCACGAGGATATTGACAAGTTATGGGTAGAGATCAGGGATAATATTAAAGCGTTCGGTAACTCGTGTCTAGAAAAAAGGGAATATAAGAATAACAATCCGTGGTTTGATAAAGATTGCTTAAACATGTGCGAAAAAAGAAAAGTCGCTAAACTAAAAGCTCTAAATAATCCTCACGAAGGCAATCTGGAATACTTCCGAACCTCAAAGATTGAAACGACGAAATTGCTCAAAAATAAAAAAGCGAGTATCTTAAAAATAAAATAATTGAAATAGACACTAAAGGAATCGAAAATCAGTTAGCTCGTGCCTCTTGTCTCGGAACTTAAAACTTAGAATATATAAAACCATTATCTTACCTACACTTCTTTGTGGATGTGAAACGTTACAGGTTACATTAAGGGATGAGCAACGTCTTAAGGTTTTTGAAAATAAAGTATTGCGTAGAATATTCGGACCGAAGAAGGATGAATTAACCGGAGAGTTCAGACAGTTACACAACGCCGAATTGCGTGAACTGTATCCGTGTAATATAATTGAGACGATTTCATTTCTGCGAATCAAATTGGCTTTAAAGTTGTTGGGCTTAGTAGCGAGAGAATTCCTAAAAGGTTAATATTTGCTGTGCCGAATAGTAAGCGTCCGAGGGGTAGACCGAAGCGAAGGTGGGAAGATTGCATTAAAGCCGATCTGAAGGGACTGGGTTTGGACGGCGAACGGTGGAGGGAGGTGTGTAATAAGCGATTGGTGGTGTCGGCATCGAACCTTCGGGTTTGCTAAGCCTTTTGTTATTATTTTAAATTCAGCATTTTGACAGCCAAACTGCAAAAGTCTGTTAGTACTATTTTGTTAAATCGAGCGATTTTGAGATTTTCTGATTTTGAACTCTCGCATATTCAAAAATATTAACTAAAAACGTTATTTAAAATATGAAATTGTACTCTTGAGCTTGGAGTTAAAAATGAAACTGAAAACGTGGTTCAAAATGTTTGAAATACGGATTCATTCCTGCTATGAATAACTTTTTTTTTTTTGCACTTACATATATTTATCCGCATCTGTCAATTATTATTGACAATCAGCAGATGTGCTGGCTAAAATAAAATAAAATAAAATAAAATAATAAATAAATAATATAAATAAATAAAAAAGGCTTGATAGGCATGAGGAATAGCAATACCCAGCGGTATCCCTTCCATGGCTTTTATTTACTAACACTATTTAAGCAGATCCCTCATCCAGACCCTTTTCAGTCGTCTTCTAGAGTTCTCGGGCATACTAGTTGTCGCCATTTCTTTTACCAGCTGGTTGGAGTGCCCGTTTAACATGTTATGAAATCGTTTGTAGTACGTTCGTATGTATTCATTGACTCTCGGAACATGTAGGTCGGTGTGAATGAATGAATAACTTTACTTATGAAAATAATAATACTTATAATAATAATATACTTATGAAAATGAATAACTTTACTTTTAAACACCAACAAGTTTTCTGCACTTTCTGAGATGTCGAGGGATCTGAGGATTATTTCCCTTGTTTGTATTTTAAAGATTTTAAATTTGTCATCACAGATCAATAATATTTTGATGATAGGAAACTTCTAAAAATTGTTATAAGTAATCCATGGCAACCGCGGTATACAATAAAATATCTCTAGGATTTGACCGGATCGTTTTATCAGTTTGGTCTACCATCGTCTGTTCCATTCCTTAATTGTATTCCACCGAATTATTTTCACCTAGAAATTTTCTTAGATTCCTACCAACTCTTCTTTCTTGTACATATTCCAACAGGAAAAGGTTGTTAGGTTCCGCCCTCGTAAAGATCTATACAGCTTTTTATGAACTTGACTTGTATGCTCTATTATCACTCAACAGAGCCATTTTAAAGACCCCCAAACTTTTTCCTTTGACTCTATAGAGTTTTGGGTTCCAGAAGAATAATGCATACCTCAACCTACCCATTACTCAGTACCCAATTCCTTCATAAATCGTCATCGCTACTGGGTATACAAGATTTCAAAAGTATTCCCCGACCTGATTCCATTCATGACTGGAATTACCCTAGTTGTCAGATAATCCAAGTGAGATATTACATCAAGGCTTTTACTTAACAGCTCGCCATCTTACTACGAAGAATCTTTTTAGCAACCCAAGAGTGTAACAGTAAAATCTATACTCAACCATGACCAAAGCTTGCTTCATTATAATGATAATTAAAATATTATTTTCCCATCACATTATTACCAGAATAATACGAAAAGCTTTCTAAATATAAATAATTAACTGATCAATTGAATATTTATAATAATAAACATTGATAATGGAATTGTTTGAAAAATAAAAGAAACTGTGTAATTTATTTAATTTCAATGCATT